CTGGTTTTTTTCCACCGATTTATGGCCCGCGCGCTTCGTGCTTGGGCCATAAATCGGTACGGTACAGACTGAAAACTCGGCTAATAAGAGGTATGTACAAAATACCTAAAAGAAGATCACAAGTATTTTTCGCCCCGTAAGTAACTGAAATAAAATGTTAAAAATCTTGCAACTGATTTCGTTATAGCTTTAACCCCTGAACATAGTTTTTCGTCAACCAATAATAAAAATTCAAACTTCAATTCGTGCCCTATACGAAACTCTCGCAGCTGATTGTCTGAATTAAGTGTCGGCGTTATTGGCCTAACGCAGGAGTTTTGATCATTTTCTTAATATAGTCTAATCCTTAATATGAAGAGTACGCGACGTATTGTTTTAAAGTCAGTGCCGATGTGGCTCCCTACTAAGCACTCAAATTGATGTGGGAAATATAAATGAAATGTTCCTGTTTGGCTTTATTATTAATAAAGTCACACTTGTTGAGAATACAGGATGCCAATTTGGTAGCAAAAAACTGAAAAGAAACTGAATGGAAGTATACATAAAGCTGTACTTGGCAGCTCGAGGGGTAAATTCCATCTTTCTCTTTTGCATGGTCTGCTTAAATCAACAGAAAAAAAATTGAAATATAAAGCATGATAAGGAGATTATATTATATATTTATTTTATTTTTATTTTTCATTTTTTCAAGAAGAAATAGTCACCGTTTTCCTTATAGCATCTAATAGTGCTTAAAAAGACGTCAAGTAGGGAAGTAAGCAGAAACAAAGAAATAAAAAGATTATATGCTCATATTCTTTTTAGTTAAAAAAGATAAAGAGAAGAAAACAGGTGTAAGAGGAAACATAATTTTTCCATTTCTTCAATTTTTCCGAATGTGGCGTCATCATTATATAGCAAGGCACATGATGGCAATTAGCACCTCCAAGACCCTGTTTACATGGAGTGGGGGACCCCGGTCTAGTGGCGTAAGTTTCTTTTGTTTTGTGTCCCTCAGAGCGTGAAAACAAAAGAAACCAACCCCACTATACCGGGGTCCCCCACTCCATGTAAACAGGCCCTAAAACAGGGGCAATTGGGACGTAAAATTTTGTTTATGCACCACGCGACACTATAAGACAATTTAACAATTTGTGGGCTTCCTTAGCTATTTCAAGACTGATCTTGCAGTTGTTGCCAAAACCAAAATTGAGTGGTGTTTATCTGCTTATTACTTAGATCGTTGTCAATTTGAAAGATGGTAACGAGTGATCATCTTTTTCTTTTCGATTTTTCCGCATGAACTTTAGAAAGATCTTCCACTGCTAATAAACCGTCGAAGACTATATAAATAATCGAAAACGAATATTGAATGAGACCCTCGCCCCCTCCCCTCTACACTGTCGTACTGCTTAATCGCTAGGACTAATAGGGAAGATATGCCAACCAACAATAGAGTGAGACTGAGTTCTTTAACCTGTGGTTAAGGTTGCGCTTGCTTACGGGTTTATCAATATCCGTTATAATCTTTTAACCACCACTTAAACACTTAGCTAGTTTCTTCGCTCACTGCAGTACGTGAACAATGAAGTTTTTGAATGAAGTCCTCAGACAGAAGTTTCAGTCAACAACCAGGAAACCATCTTACGCAAGCTGCAGTGACAGCGATTCATAAATACCTTAAAACCTGTCAAAATGGTTATACTTGGCACAACACAAAATATTCCATGACGCAATCCAAAAGATCGGAGATACCTAATTTAAGACGTCATCAGAGATATATAATCCTGTAATTTGTTCAACTTCACAGCAATGAGATTCAGACCATTTCTGTGGAATAACAACTTAATTAGTGACGTTAAACTTTACTTTTACAAATCCGAAGCGGCAATTTAAAAAGTAAGCAAAAAGGTCATCAAAAGTCACTTAGGAATTTTTTTCCACACACTTCTTTATTTAAATGTGTTTAAAAGTTAAAGGATTCGCATTTCCCTGTGTGTATAGGAGACATCAATGTTTACAAATACAAACATTGTTTTTGCTATTCAAATGGGGTCTTTTTTTCATGAGCATGCGCGACCGCTGACTTGTCAAAGAGCAGGCGACCAGTGACAGCGACCGTGCTGCATAGTCATAGGAACCAAATTGTTCACTTTGAAACCTTGCTTGAGATTGAAATGGTAGCAGGAACTTAAGAAAGACCTTCGTTGTACAAAATAAGTAAAGATCCGTTGATTTAGAGTGGAGACTGATGCGCTGAACGAGGTGAAAGAGCAAGTTTCTCAAGGATGTCTGACACGAACATGGCTGCTTGTTGTTGTTTGGCGCTCGACTCGTGACTTGATTCCCCTTTAAGAACCGCAAAGTTTGGCATAGAATGCATTGCTGATGCGTAGCTATTGAGCAAAATGTTCTTTATTTAGTGTTTGTCTATAAATCGGATGTAAATCAGTTTCTCGATGCCGTAGAGGATTTCTGTCAATAATTTGTTGATAGCTGATTTAGCCATATTTCGGGAGCGGATTAATAACGATCAGCGGGCGACTACCACGCCGTTTTCAGTTGGAATAGAAAGTTTTTGCCTTAAGTATTTTAGCAATACAAAGTTTGTTTATACGAAAATTGTAGAACTTCTTGTTTTTGCGTGGACTAACATTGTAACGCATCTTTTACAGGAATTTGCTTTTAGCCAGAACTTAAATGTTCTCATGATTTTTAACTTTTGGTCGGCATCACATGTTTACTGTACTTCTTGGGAAACCTAACCGTTTGTTTCATCAACATTGGTCACAAGATTGGACTTTAATTTCGGTGCTATTTAATGCAGTTTTGACTGTGTCTTATTGATATTCATTTTTTTCATTGTTCGAGACATACAGAGTGACTACCACCAACATCTCACCAGGTGACTAATCTACGTCTCGTGTGCTCTTAATTTTGTAACTTTAAAGTGCTGGGAAAATTGTAGAACATATATTAATTCACTGCTCAAATGAACATCGGCTTTCGCGCACTTCGAATCCACTCGCTGAAATTTGCTATGTTTTTTTTTAAATATTTCTCTTCCTTTCCCATTTCAAAACAAAGAAAATTGAAAGTGTTTACTTGCATCAACAAACGTTTCTGCACTTTGTTTAGACTTTGATGAGGTCAGCTCAATCCTCCAGGCAATACATATACGCGCGCTGTTGTTTAGGTCAAGTGGGGAGATGAAATTTGATAGTAGCTCGTGTATGTTAAAGTCGGTTTACTTCGCTTTTGTTAAGACCATTTTAGAGTTTTTTTTGTAAACTACACATTTTGTTAAATCACGAGCACATTCGCCAAGACCAACGAGTAAAATAATCGCTATGATAGCTTTGAGACGCGCCATTTTGATGAAAGAAAACCCTGTGGTGAGCCTCCATGCACATCGCTTGTTCAGCGGTCGCGCATGCTTATGCAAAAAAGACCCCTGTTTGTAAAACAAAACAATCTTTTGTTTCAAGAACCAATGAATGCACTTCTGGTTGGACATTGATATCTTCAATAGGTGACGTCAGCGTGAGTATCGCAATTCTGACTGTTTATCGCTCTACCATATGAAACTTGAAAACAATGCCAGGGAATAATGAGGACGATCACTTATAAACACAAAATCTCTAGGGAGAAAATTTGTGATATCTAAAGCCCCATTTAATTACCTTCCGTCTTTTCAATGTCCTTGAAACCAAGAAGAGACGTACATTGATGCTTAATTTCGGGATGGTCAAGGTTTTTTAAAAGAATTATCGAGCGGTTTTTAAATAACCGTGAAATTTGTAGACGTGGACCAAATTACATGTTTTACAAAAATGGTAAAGAAAGCAGCCGAACGCAGGCTAATCAAATTCCTCTTCCTTGCAATCGGCCAGAGCAATCCCCCTCTTTTTTCGTACAAGAGTTTCAGGTGGAATCAAACCACTATGAGATGAAACAGCATTCCAGACCTCATCATTTTTTTAATAAATATCAGCTAATTATGTCGATAGCAAGTTTATTCACTGATTTTTCCCCTTAAGCGATTTCTGAATAAAACTACTAATACCGAAAAATACAAAGGCAAGTAAAAAACATAATGGCGTCATTGTGTTGCCATGGTAAATCTGATGTCAATAAAACATGGTTCATAACAAATTTTCATCTTTATACAGCGCAGCCGTGTTAACCTTTTTGCGTTATCTTTGTTAATGCTGACGTGGTAAACGCTCAAAAAGGGGAAATGTACTCCCTAAAAAATCCAGTCGAGCCACCTTAAACAAGAGGCATACTCTCATATTCTGGTCTTTATTTATTGGTAATAAGGTATCGGGGTGGGGGGAGTAAATGTTGTACTGCCGACCCTACGCGACGATAATAGTTCGAACTGTGCTAGTCGGTTTCTTGGCGAGACTGCCACAGTTCACTGAAAAAAAAAAAACGAATAAATGGTGTCTACAGGTCTATTTTCTTAGAATACGCAAAAAACACTATTATTTAAATCTTACCCTCGTAATCCTCCTCCTTGACTCCATTAACCCATAAAAGCCTTTGCAAAACGTTTGTTTGGACACAGAGGCTTTTTCTCTTTGAAACCCGCGTAAGCGAGTCGCGAAGCGGCGAGAAAAAATAATGATCTTTCACCTACCAGCACTTTGGCACTTCGCTCCAAGTGACAAAAGTACGAAGAGGGGAGGACCCAAGTGCAGAAGTGCCCGGGGGGAGTGGGGGAAGGGGGAAGGGAGACGTAACTGAAGTGGGGTGGAACACGTGGAGGGCCTTGCAATTGTCCGCCATCTTTAATGTCGGATACTTCCTGGGAACGAGCCTTAAGAAAAAAGCGGGAAATACAACTTTGGAGTGCTGTTACAGCCTAAATATGGACGCCTTAAACGTCGATTTCGTGAGAGATCTTGTTGTGACGCAGGTGAAAACACATTTACAAGTCAGTTTTTTGCTACAAGAAGCATATCCTGGAAAGAGAGGCTTAAGTTCGCAGTCCGTTAGAAGGTTTGGCCTTAAAAATGGAATACATGCGCAAAATCGGCTGTCAAACGAAGAGCTGGAACACTACACGAAAGAAGTTGTTGCTCGGGTGGGTATTTTTGCTTGAATTTTTTTTCCTGTAAGGAAAAAATGGTTGAATTAAGAAATTTTTTATAAAGTAATATCACAAGTGGATGTATATTATTCCGAGAAACGTTGTTGGTACAATATTTTCAAAGCTACCGGTCCATAAAGACACCATGTTCAAGGCGCTAGATAGTTGAATTGTATAACCTGTTTAAGACTCAAGACCCGGATATTACACCCTGTTCAGCGCCACGTACCCTTCTAGGCCAAATAAGGGACTGCGCCCCTAAGGGGGAGATGAAATCCTCATTCTATTCCAAATCAACGTTGATCACCATTGGCAGACTGATATATGTCTAATACATTTAAATTTCACCATCATAGTAGGAGTAAAACCTTACCTTTTCTTTAGTCAAAGTCTGGAAGTCTCAGCCAAAATGCAATAACTATGACGTTGCAAACTGATGACACCAAAAGCATATGCTCTGTGTCAACTCCCTCTTAGTCTGTGTACAGACGTCCCCCCTCTCTCAGAAAAAAAAAATTGATTTTTTTTTCTGAGGGAGGGGGGACGTCTGTACACAGGCTACTCGCTCTTAACTAGTCAACTTTCTATGGGATGTACACTTTTTAAATTGTCAGCTTGGAGATGTCTCCTAAAGGTGTCCATCTCAAAGACAGTTGAAATATATCATATTAAGTTCTTGATGTGTTTTACTCAAGGTTGGACCCACATGGGGTAGAAAAATTGTGAAAGGATATATGGCCAGTTGTGGTATAACAGCTGGTGACAAGCGCATTGGAAAAGCTTTTTTTTTCAATTGTCTCTCCTCTGTACCAAGTCCAGAGAAATACCAACACTGCCAGGCAAACCAATCCCTATCCTTACCATGCTGACTATTTTGGTCACAAATTGCACATGGACCAAAATGAAAAACTGGCAATGTATGGATTAACTGAAGTCAGTGCATGTGATGGCTATAGCGGAAAGATTGTGGCTTTTGCAACAATGCCAGTGAAGAACAATGCTTTGATCTATGAGAATGTTTACAGGTACAGTATTGGACAATCCTTTAAAAATTGCTATTATTACTGTAGGTGATAATAATATTATAATTATTGCAGCAGTGTTGCCACCTTAACAACAAGCACTTCCAGATAAGAAGTACCAGCAAGAGTATAATAGAAAAATAAGAGAAGCAGCCAAGTAACAGTGATGAATATATCACGAAAACAAGCATAGATCATGTTAAAATTTAATTTACATTTATTTACTCACCTTTGTATGTGTTATTGATGTTTAAATATTACATCTTATATTTGCTTTTCTCTTTGAAGAACTGTGGTCATTCAGCATGGCATTTGGGATCAACTTAATCTCGTACCCAGATCTCACTCTGTTTTACACTACTTGGTCGTGGGAGATCTGGGTACGAGATTAGGATCAACTCAGAGTACACCATGGAACAGAGTTCTATCTCTCTTTGTATGTACAAGAAAAAAAGTCTCTATATAGGACCAATATAAACAGGGCACCATTTATACAAACAACTTCGAAGCAGGTGTTTGTTTAGTGAACATGTTACCATTATTATTATTATCATAATTATTATGATAACTATTAATCATTATTTTTATTATTATCATTTAATATTATTTTTCTTATTTCAAGAATCATCCTGCTGGGTAGAGTTTAACTCCCGTGTCAACTACCCTATTAAACAAGCTCCAAATGCTATGGTGAATGAAGACCTAATAAATATGGATGGTGACATGAACAAGTTCGGTGTATCATGGTATACGTCCAGGGTAGCAGACATTGAAACCAAACAAGTTATTTCCAGCTGGAACAACCATGCCATTACCATTCTGGGGATCCATCACCATTCTGGGTCATTTCTGCATGGATAACCTTCACAAGGGCACCACCTTTCCGTTTATTTCCACCAAAGACTGCAGGCATTGAAGAGCTTCCAGGATTGACCCCATATGAGAATACTTGACTAAGCTGTCCAGAGTGCTGCTCTGCAATTTGTGGGGGATATGAAGAGGGCTGCACAAATTCCCTCATAACTTGCAGTGAGGTTCCATCCATTAGGTGACCGATATTAAACCGACCTGCATCATTTGGCCAAAAAGCCATATCTCCAAATTCTTCTTTAAGATATAACGAGTTCGCTTCAACCTAAAACGTAGGGTCTTTACATTAAAGAGATGTTCAAAGCTTAAATATTAAGGAATTAGATGGTTCGAGGTTGAGTTTACTTACCTGAAAATCTCGCGAAAGTCAGGCTACATTTATGTCGCCCGAATTCATTCGAATTCGTAGCTCTTTTCCTTCTCGACTTAAATCGAAACTCCTCAGAGATGCCATACTAAATGGGCCGACGTAAATGTACAACGAACGAATTCAACAAAGGGAGACCTGACCATCATCAGAGAGAAGATTCGTCCGAAACACAACCTTGATGAAAAAGACAGGTACAAAAGCGCACGAAAAACCATGGGTGTTGTCCAAGTAAAAAGACGCTGGGGGGAACCCAAAGTCAAATATTTATTTTCGTCAAAAATAAAACCTCTACTAGTAAAACGAAATGTACATTGTTCTAAAAAACATAAGCTTAAGTACGATTTCTCAACTTTCCACGAAGGAGGTTGGGAATTTCTTAGTTTTGATGTTACAGCGGCGGTTCAGCAAAGAGAGAACTCAACCCCGACCCCCTCTTCCCTCCCCTCCCCTCCTGGACACTTCTGCACTTGGGTCCACCCTCTTGGTACTTTCGTCACTTAGAGCGTGATCGATTCATCAATTCTTCGTCCAAAAACAAAAATTGAAAATTGATCGCAGCATTCAATTTTTAAATTTTTTTCGTAATTCACGTCATAGTAGTGGACAGATGACTGGGGAAACAATTTTCCTGCGAATAGCTAAAATATGTTTACAGGGGAAAACGTTAAAACAATTATGAAACCTGTTTAGGCATTGTGCGGGAAGAAAAAAATTGGAAAATCAAAAATTGACATCGATTTTCAATTTTCAATTTTGAATTGAAAATTAAATGGACGAATGACCCACGGACCAATGTTCTCAGTCAAAGCCTTACACTGAAACCTCTCGTAAACGACCACCTCCAGTAAGCGACCGTAACCACCGGCTGACAGTTTGAGAATTTTTTACTGTTTTTAAACCTTCGGTAAGCGACCACTTGACACATGGTCTTACTAAACAGTGAAGTAGATCGCAGTAAAAATGGACAAAAATGAATTTATTCTTTGGCTGTCATTATTGCCTACGCAGCTATTACTGTGTTTTTTTAAATTGATCTATAACTACAATATTAGCCATTACCCTTGAGAAAAAGACTCAGGTTTCCAGGTTTCAGTTTAAGAAGTTAAGTTTTTGTTCGTCAGACGTTTCAGGGACATTTCTGTAAAGAAGTCACGTACACAAGTAAAATTTTTTAACCACCAATTTATGGCGTCATCTAATTAAGTGCACTTCCGTAAATGAACTGTCGCATGGAATAGCTAATGATTGTGTCAATAAAACTATCAGTAATTGGTAGGAGACAGTAACTTCCGTTATCTTTTTAGAATAAATATACCACCCCATCCTAGGTTGACTTAAAAATTTCGCCCTTGCGGTCCGACCCTCATAAGCGAAGACCTCCCGTAAGCGACCACCAAGCCTTTGCATTTTGGGTGGTCGCTTATGAGAAATTCGACTGTAGCTGACGTTAGGGACGGACCATTAGAAACGTTATGGGGGGAGGGTAGGAAATTTTCGAGCCACAGAAATTATTTGTCGTTTTCAAATTCCTTGTATGAATTATTTTTAGGCCATAGCATGAATATTATTTAGGGTTAAATGGCGTTAATGAATATTTTTTCATTTAATTTTTCCTTGAGCGAATATTTTTTCTGTAATTCGCCCGCCACCCCTTCCCCTCCCCCATAAGTTTCCTAATGGTCCGTCCCTTAGAGTTCCCGCATCATCTGTCTTTGAAGTTCTTCAATAGCTGTCACATGCATTCCCCGCAAAAACACTTGGAAACTAAAATCAGCTCAATAACAATAAGCTGCAGTATGACTTACTTCAAACATTTGAGCCAATCTCTCCGCTGTCACCGGCATTATTTTTTTCACTAGTCTTTTTTACTCCTCGTTCTCCTTCTCCTGAGAAAAAAAAATAATGTAATCTTCCTGCATTGCAACAGAAACACTCGACCGAACAAGATCGAAGCTGATGACAGCAATTACACGGGAATCTATTGCATCTTTATTTCCGGGTTAGTTTCATTTCCGTTACGAGTCCAGGAAAAAAAAAATGAAAATTGACCACAGATTTTCATTTTTCATTTTTCATTTTTCTGAAAAAAATAAAACTGGACACAGATTTTTCTTTTTTTATTTTTTATGTTCAGAAAAAAATAAAAATTGAACATAGATTTTCATTTGTCATTTTTCATTTTTCAATTTCTAAAAAAATAAAAAATTGAATATAGATTTTCATTTGTCATTTTTCAATGTTTAGAGAGATTGAAAATTGAAAATCAATTGCCGATTTTTATTTTTTATTTTTAAATTTAAAAATAAGAAAATTGAACACAGATTTTCATTTTTCATTTTTCAACTTGCAGAAAAAATGAATGACCCTAATATACACGCATTATGTACATATTCAATTATTATTTTAATGCTTTGCAAAAGCCTTATGATAATGTCTTTGCCCATATGCGATATATAGACTGAAATACCTGTAGAGCTAACAGTATGATTAAAATAACATTGTTCCGCACTTCACCCGCTTCATACAGTAACTTTGGCATTTCATATTGTAATCAGGTAAATGGTTCGACGAATGAATGACTGCATGAACTGATTAATCAATGACGTCGCGGTATTCGTCTTTTTCTGTCAGTTAAGCCATCGTGCCCTTGGATCAATCAAATATCAAAACGTCCTTCGTCATAGTTATGTCTTTTACTTTATTTGTCGACGAATTGCAAGTTACAAAACGAAGGATTCGATACATCCTTGCCATTTTCTCCACGTAGTCCAACTAATTAAAACGAAAAACGCCTCATAAGTTTGACCGCGGTGGCCATGGAAGAGGTTACAAACGTGTACGCATAAGCAACGTGATTCAGGGGCACCCAACGAGAATAAAGTTCAAAACCACTTAAACAGTTAGCATTGTTAAACGTATTTAGTATTTAAACAGTAGATATATGCATATTTTATTCCCTTAAAAATTTTTCCTCTGTTCGGATTTCCGAGAAGAAAGTCTCGTGATCCGAAAATTGTAGGGATCAAAATTTAGCTTTTCGAAAATTTCAGCCAGAAAAAAGGCTCCATAAAATGCTAGGTGATCTTTTTATGGTAAAAATCCGTTAAAAATGGGCAGTTATATCATTGTTTAGATGTTCGAGAATCCTGAGAGAGGCACAGAAGCAAGAAATTTTACAACAAATGTTCCGAAAATTCTAGATCTCAAATCGTCTTTGGAACAGATATTTTCCGAAAATTGACGTTGGGTGCCCCTGGTGATTTTACTGGTTGAGCACCAATCTCGTCTCCATAAATCCCTATCGGTCATGAGTTAAGTGTCGGGTCGCGTTTTTGGTACTGACCGGGGAGAAAACGGGCTCTTGAGAGGAGATTGACCGATTACAAAAGCCGCAAACAATCCAACAAACCAATCACAGCTGTAATTACAACGGGAAACAATCAACTGGTGACATGAAAGCGAAAACGAGTGTCGTTTGGGTGCAAGAAATGTTTGAGGCAATTTTTAAGCGCAGTAATGTAAAATCAATCATACAGTCACTATCCTGGATGCCAGAGGTCTCCTCGCTCATCGGCGGCGATGGAGAAGCATAAAGAGAGAAGTGCCAACGTGCTGGTAGGTGAAAGATTTTTTTTTTTCACGCCGCTTCGCGACTCGCTTTCGCGGGTTTCAAAGAGAAAAAAGCCTCTGTGTCCAAACAAACGTTTTGCAAAGGCTTTTCTGGGTTAATAGAGTCAAGGAGGAGGTCCACGAGGATAAGATTTAACTAATAGTGTTTTTCCCGTATTCTAAGAAAATAGACCTGTAGACACCATTTATTCTTTTTTTTTGTTTTACAGTGAACTGTGGCAGTCCCGCCAAGAAACCATCTGGTACAGTTCGAACTATTATCGTCGCGTAGGGTCGCCAGTACAACATGTTGTTTAAGGTGGCTCGACTGGATTTTTTAGGGAGTATACCTCCCTTTTTGAGCGTTTACCGCGTCAGCACTAACAAAGATAACGCAAAAAAGTTAACACGGCTGCACTGTATAAAGATGAAAATTTGTTATGAAACATGTTTTATTGACATCAGATTTACCATGGCAACATAATGACGCCATTATGTTTTTTTATTTCTCGGTACTAGGAGTTTTATTCAGAAATCGCCTAAGGGGAAAAAAACAGTGAATAAACATGCTATCGACATAATTAGCTGATATCTACAAAAAATGATGAGGTTTGGAAATGCTGTTTCATCTCATGGTGGTTTGATTCCATCTGAAACTCTTGTGCGGAAGAAGAGGGGGATTGCTTTGGCCGATTGCGAGAAAGAGGAATTTGATTAGCCTACGTTCGGCTGCTTTCTTTACCATTTTTGTAAAACATGTAATTTGGTCCACGCCTACAAATTTCACGGTTATTTAAAAACTGCTCGCTATTTTTTTTAAAAAACTTGACAATCCCGAGATTAAGCATCAATGAACGTCTCTTCTTGGTTTCAAGGACATTGAAAAGACGGAACGTAATTCAATGGGGCTTTAGATATCACAAATTTTCCCCCAGATTTTGTGTTTATAAGTGAGCGTCCTCATTATTCCCTAGAATTGTTTTCAAGTTTCATATGGTAGAGCGATGAACAG